TTTCTGAGGTTCCCAGGAGATCCAAAGAAGAGGAAGAAAGAAACACACTAATAAACACATATCCTCAGATGATGGTGCCTCTTCAAAATAAACAGATAATGTGGCAGTTTTCTACTAAATGTAAGAACGAAGAAAAGCCTGAATGGCCATTTATTTTACGCTTGATGATTACAAAGTCTATAAAACTCACAAGCAAGCAATGCTAGAATTGAAAGATGAGAACATGACTTACCTCAGCTTCTATTTAAAAAAAAACAACAAAACCCCCCACATCTGATGGGATTCCTCCGGGTTCTGAAGCAACTCTTTCCACTTACACTTTAATGTTAGACAGAACAGTTCCTCCCCTCGGCTGCTATGTGCATCCAGCTACTTAACTTAAATCCCATTCCTCTCACTTCCCAGATACTGGAATTGTTAAACAGCAAAAGCATCCCCAAAGGGAAGTGAATCACAATTTAAAAAAAAAAAAAATTTTAGGAGACTAAGGAGTTGAAAAATAAGACCAGCTGAAATAAAGCAGCCTATAAACCAGCAAAAATGATGAATGTTCTTCAGAGATCCTGATGAGTTGTACTATTGCTGCCAAATGCTTTAAGAAGTTCAGACTCCGACTGCACTGGGAAAAACTGTTGGCTGTTGTTTGTTTTTTTTAAATGCTACTATGAAGACTTCAAGGCCAGAGTTTTCCATTGCTATGAACAAACCTCAGCCTTAGAACAAGCCATCACATGAACACAAGCAATTGTTCCTACCAGAAAAGGAAAAGAGAAATATTGCTAAGCTATTGCTACACAGTAATTTGAGCCCAACAGCCAAATATTCCAGCTCTTTTCCCAAGGATACCCCAACACCCTAAACTGATACTGCTTTAAACAGTTGTGTTTTTTGCTGCAGAAACACAAAGACCCATTTTTTATCCATAGTACTGGAGCCTCTGAGAACTATGAAGAGGAGATGATTTTGGCTGCATCTCACCTAGCACTGCCAGCTGTCTCATCCAAACTGAGAGCTCCACATCATGAACAAACCTAGAGAGACATACTTCAATGTCAGTGCAGACAAAATGTTTTTGCAACAGACTCCTCCTGCTAGCCTAGCACCCAGAAAGAGATTATGAATGAGCGGTTCTGACATGCAGTAGTCTTTCTGAAAGTATTCAGATAAAAAAAACAAAACCAACCAAACAAACAAAAAACCAACCCCATCTTATATGCTGGTTTACACTAAACCAACAAGAACTGTTTGTGAAGGGTTCAAGTGACCTGTCTTCTGTGGATATGCCTGCCTGTCATGCACAGTCACAGAACAAGACACGGGTGCACAACATGACCACCTAGTTCAGCTTTGGCTCCGTCTCACCAGGAAGGTGTGTAAGAATGGACCAGCAAGCAAACAGCAGAGCACTGGACAATGAGACCAACCAAGGTTGGATGTGCAGATGAATGCTAATATATAAGCACTGGGCTTCAAAACCTGGAAGCTTAAATTCATAGTCATGGAGCTGACACATACAGGAGGTTTAAGGCTAAGATGGAAGGAGGTAGTAAGATCTAAAAGACAAAAGTACACAAAGACAGCCAAGGTATTACAAAGGTTCATCAAAACAACAGGAAAGGCTTTGGAATTATAAGCTGTAACAAAAATCAGATGGAAGGTAAAGAATATTTCGGGGCAAAGGGAGAAGAAAGATGTAGCGAAGAACAAGAACATGCATGTTCCCATGAACACTGACAGGTTCTGTGGTCATTTCACCAGAGGCAAGAATGAACTTGTACAAACATTTGGGAAGCAAAGCTTATTCTCATCACTGTGAGCTGCTCTGATACCAGGGGGAAATACCCAGTTTTTACTGTACACACTCTGTACAGCAGCAGGGAGTGGAAAAGCAACCATGAACTAGGAGGAGTTGTGTTATGCTAAGGAACTGGACCCCAGGGGTCAGACTCTTTTGCAGGTATCTTCAACCAGATTCAGGGCTTTGTAATTTGCTTGCTTGTCTTTTACTTCTCAGCATCTGCAAACAGCCTTTCCAGTTCAAGAAACCAAATCATTTATCAACAAAAACTTGACATCTAACCCCTTTACTCTCAAAGTAAATACCAGTATTTAGTATTACAGAAACAATTCTGCAAAGCCTGCAAGACAACTGTGGCAATGGATGCTCACTTTTTCCTCCTTGCAAGCTGTCCATGAACATTAATTTCTTCAGGTATTTTTTATCTTCTTGCAGGTTTCAGTTATTTTCTTCCATGATAATTAAATGACAGACATAAACTAATTGCAATGAATTCTGCATAAGAGATCTGTAAGAAATCCTTTTAGGAATGTCATGGTCCCCTTTGTCAGTGAATACTTGTAAAAGCCTTTATCCAGAACACAGTTGACCAAAACTAATATACAGTCAGAAGTTACCTCAGTGTTGAGCATCCTTTCAGGACACTGCTTAGAAGAAATGCCATGTCACAGACACAGCAGTTGGGCAATATTTGTAAGAAGTCTAATTTCCAACACACTTCAGCCACTAGGTTTCACTTAATGAGCACCGAGTTTCAAAGATTATTCTAATGTTACCAGACATTTCTAGAAAATGGCCTGTTTTGATGTGATGATGAACTTTGTCTCATAGTGTTCTCCAGAGATTTTTAAAGTACTTTGGGGGGGGGGGTTTAGTGATTTATAGTGATTTATACCACATTATACCATTTTTTTCACGATTTATACCACGTTTAGGACCAAGAAACCTGATTTCTCCTAGTCTATACTTCAAAGTCAAGATCATTAAAGTAAACTGAACAGGAATGTTAATAAAGCAAGACAATTTCTTGAAGAGTGTTTTTGGTTTTTTTTTTTAATAGTGAGAATACATTTTACTCAGATGTCTCCTTGTTTCTATTTATTGTACTCTTACCTCAAGAAAATAAGAGCTGATTGTGTTTCCTTTCCATTACAGGAGACATTTTCTGTCACTGGGTTCTAGATCAAAACTAGTTCTACACATTTATACTTCTATTAAGCCATGCAAGGAAGCATCCAAATGCATGTTAGTAGATGAAGCATTAAACCAGACAGTTGAGGTCTGATCATTAGAACCAAAAGTAGGCTAGAAAAGTAGGCTAAAAGTAGGCTAAAACAAACTATGGTCCTCCTTGAAGAAATCCCACATTAAGGAGCTCCCATCAGTTTCTGCTGGCTTACAGAAACCCTGTAACTTACAAACACGCCAGTGAAGACATTGAAAAAAAAACCACCCCAAAATACACCCAACACATTCTAACCAAAGCTTACGGACAAAAGCTCCTGAGAGGCAGTGAATTTTGAGATCTGGCAATACTTCATGGATTTTCCTACCTTCTTTATCAACTTCATTAAAAAATTGTGCATGTAGATGAAAATGTCGAGATGTTTAGAATGTGCATCTAATGATCATAGGCCTACAGCTATATATGTGTATCATTACATATACCCACACACACAGCCATAAATACAGTAGTTTTTATTTCTTTTAAAGATAATGCCCCTTAACCCAAACTTCCTCCTGACAAAAAACACGTCTTTTTGAACAAAACCACTCAATAACTCAAAAGAAATATACTGACCAACCTGACCAAAACAGACAACTGTGCTGAGTGACTCCTTCTGCTTGAGACAGCAACTCAAATTCCACATCTTCTCCAGCATTTTTGTCTTATCAATTAATACCACAAGTTGCTCAAACTAAAACTTGTGTAGTCAGCAACTAACTTTCCATGATTACTAATCTGTTTCCGAATTCATGTGAAAAATGAGATAGAAAAACAGGAACATGAAAACAATAGGCACTATAACAGTATCAATGCACAAACACATGACATGAACATCACGCACATGAAATTAAAACATAGGAAGAAGAAACAATGCAAGAGCTCAAAAGCTCTGAAGTAAAAGAAACAAATGGGGTAAACAAAGACATGACATGTACATTCTGGAGCAGAGGGGTCAAAGCAAACCAAAAGCTACTTAAGGTTATGATTTTTTTACACTGGGTTCTTATCAGACAGGAGGAGGTTGGAAAGCTTGGATAAAGCTGTTTGCCAGCACATGCTGAACATACAGTGTGGCCATATTTCTACCCTAGCACTAGATATTTAAAAGAGTGATTTTAGAAGGATAGCAGAGGTGATTTGTCTTCACTACAATCTTAAATCAGGTAACTCAATGTAGGGTAGAAACAAAGAAACAAAAAAATCAAACCCATTTTTAGCCTTTTAATAAAATCTCTTGGGTTTTCTAGCTAAAGCAGTAGCTTCAAGATCCAAATTCTACTTGCTGGTGACTGACAAAAGCCTTGTTTTAGATTCAAAGGTAATTCCTTATTATTACATAATATCAAATATGTTGTCCCTCCCCATCTAAAGTGTACTACTACTGTTCCATGGAGAATATAAGTTTTATATAATGGAAGCAAATGTGAACCATGCAACAACATATGGGAATGAAGATGTCTTTTGTCAAAGTGATTTTCACCTGATAATTTTTTTTTAACAAGTTAAATTATTAAAATAAATTATCGAAAAAATATTAAACAATATTAACTTTTGCTTTTACATCTAAGCACTGAAACTCAGAATACACTGTTGCTTTTCTGCAACAAATATGAGAACGCCAACAATGAAAATCTGATCAGGAAAAAACCCTAAGATACACCTATGACTTTCAAGTCAGGATATAAGAAAATATTTGAAGTATGACTAGATACACAGCTTGGACTGACTGTAACTTAAATAGCACAAAGGTTGATTATTAAATTTAATTACTTAATTTAAAAGAAATGTTTGTAACAAACATTTAAATAAAAGCGCTGCTGAAGAATGCAAGGGATGCTCTGCAGGAAGGATTCTACTCCCACATACAGCACAGAATCTCTTAAAAAAGGACACCTTGCGTGGCAGCAAAAGTATTAGAAGTGGGAAATGAAGTGCAGGTGGAGGTAACCGGGAAGGAAGGCACACAGTACTCACAGAACTCCTCCTCCACGAGGTTTGTGTGAATTTATCAGCGTATGCGCGCGATGCCCCTGCAGGTTTTTGACTCTCCTTCTGGCAGTTACATCTAGCGGCCTTGATCACCCCCAAAAAGAGAAAAAGAAAAAAGAATTACAGATTAACCAACTAAGCCTCCTGAAAAGTACAGCCAAGGCCCAGTGTTCAAACATCATGCATTATATGACTGTAGAGCACAATATGATTAAACTGAGGAAATACTATTTACAGCACTGCACAACTGCTGCTTTTCCCAAAGTGTATTTACAAGTACTCCAGAATAAATGTTGACTTCTGGAAAGAGTGATCTGGGATTCTCTTCTTTAAACAGCAGAGCAGAAAGCCCAATCTTTTCTGTTTCAGAGGGAATGATCAAAACTAGACAGGGAGAAGATGAAGACCACAGGTCAGCTCCAGTGCACATGGGTACAAAAGCACACTCTAGACATTTCATTAGAGCTTATCATCACACAACGCTGTCTCCAACTATGATAAATAAATATGGTGTGAACCTCTTGGCATCTCATCTACCCCACCTGTAAGATCTTGCTGTGGTTTTAAATGGCTTGAACATGTGAGGTTATTTTACAAGAATTATCACAGCAGGTGGATTTACCAGAATTTACACGTGGCAAAATCCAAACTCAGAACAAAACCAAAAAGGCACATGTGACTTTTGCTTGAGGCCTTGTGTCTTCCTGAACCTAATTTATTATGAAAGTGTTCCCATAACTTGTCCTTATTTGGCCAATTTAATCTGACTATTCAACATATTTTTTATTGGGTTTTTTTTTTATTGTTTTTTGTTTTTTTTTTTTAAAAAAAAAAAAAAAAAAAAAAAAAAAAAAAAAAAAAAAAAAAAAAAAGAATCAACTTTGAATACTAACTTGCTAAGGTTTAAACTCTATGGTGCCATTTTCTATTAAACCAACAGAGAGTAGAGGAATGGAGAAGGATAAAAAAAAACCCAACTTCAATAATGGTAAGCTCAATACTTGTTAATTTTTAAAATACTTTAAACATGGCCTTACCTTTGCCCATTGTTAGTTTTGAGCAGCTTCTAGAATTTAATGCTCAAAACAGTTTTGGAAATGAAATACTTTTCATAGTGGTATAAACATTCTTGCTTAGTGCTACACATACAAATCATGACTAGTCTACAGAATTAAAGATTTCAGGAGCACAACTGAAAACACACTGGGACATGTAGAATCAGTCTGCTGGAACTGAACCTCTACAGACTCAGGAGCCAGGTGGGTCCAAATAGAACCGAAACCTTCCTTTGTTATAATGAAAGTGCAGGAAAAAAGTTAGTTGTGTAGCTGCCTTGAAGCCTTCACCGGAATTGCCTGGTAAAGTTCCACTCTGCACGGCACATTTGGGATTTTGCGAAACTTTCAGCATTATACTCACAAGCTGATGCTCTAATTGGCTGATTGTTTCATCCTTTTTCTTCAGTTCATCTTTGAGCTGCCTGATCTCATTCAGCAGATCATCCATCTGCAATAGAACAGTGGGCACTATCAGGTTTTCTGTAAGGACTACACAGTCTAACTCCATATCCCTACAGAACATACTACATCAAGTGTGCATGGAGGACTGGCAGTAACAGCACATGCTTTCCACCTCCCATTCTCATGGAAAGATGGGCTGTAGGCACACAGACTACACAGTGAAGAGGTTTGATTGGACCATTATATATTAATATTATGCAAAGTCCTGAGACAAAAAAAAAAAAAAAAAAAAAAAGGTAAATACGCAAGAGTGAATTTTTTAAAAACTCATTTTAACAACTGAAAAAAAGGAAGTGTATAAACATTCATTAGGTTTGCATTTAAACAGAAGAAAGAATCGACAAGCAGTACTTCAGAGTGACATACAATTTTGGTATGTTTTTTAAACAAACAGGTTTGTATCTCTATTTCTGTAGAGTCAATCAGTGTCATTTACCTTAAAAGTTGACTCAGGTTCCTGTGGTTCCGGACTTGATGGAACTGAGAGGTTGATGTCCTGGAGCGACACATTTTCATCACTCTACCAGAGAGCAAAACAAGAACACAAGCTTGAATTACTTGCTGAAACAGCTCCATTGTAAACTTACTTTCAAGGATGGAGATACATTAGGTCTCTGCAAAACCTGTTACAGTGCCTGACTTCTCTTACCCCTAATTTCCCCCTTTTTTCCCTGATAGGAAAACTTTCCTTGAGCATGTGCACAGCACACGAAAAATGAAAAAAAAAAAAAAAATCACAAAACAAGACCAACCATTTCAAGCAAAAGTACCTTGCATGGCTTTTAAAAGCTGTGTACCTCTGGTATACTTTTTATTGCCATTAAAAAGCAAGTAAGTGGAGCAATAAAACATTCCACAACAGCAGATTAAGGCCTAATTACAAAGAAGGTTAGTATGTCACAGTCTCTGGTGATCTAAATCAGCCCTATGATATACCTGACTCATTCACTGGCAAAGCAGGAACTAAGTTCATTTGCATCAATTCCCTTACTGCTGCCTTAATTATCTCAATACACATGTAAAGAACACAGGGCAACTGAAAAAAACCCAGTTCTAACTGTCAGTGGAAACTCAAGCCTCCCATTTGAACACATGCTAGGATTAATCTATGAAACTTGGCTTGAGGTACATAGGCTGAAATATGTAAACTGATGGAGGATTAACGCTGCAGACTTCCACACTTAACGAGCTATGTAGGATAGTCTTCAGTTACAGATTATTTTAACTTGATATAAATTTATTTATATATTTTTATATACGTATATTTTTTTTTCACATGCAATGTTTAATCCAAGAATATAACACGCTAATTTAAGAAATAGGTCAAGTAATTGGGTAGTGACTGATCATTTCACAGTCCTTTTCTTGTTGCTCATTACAGAAAGCTATTTGAACCACTACCTTCTAGAATGATTTTCAGCTCTATCACACGCACTGGAAAGTTTTTGTGGGACTTAAGTCAACAGCACACACTTCAGCTTCTGTCCAGTTTTGGGGGATCCCGATGTAAACTGAGGTAACCACACACCTCAAGACATGTTTTCAAGAGGCTTATAAAATTACAGCAAACCTGAAGTCAGAATCCATTAGAAAATACTCAGGCAAGACTTGGAAAACCATCCTAAATTTACTAATAGCTGCATAAAGGGAGCAGGCGGTTGTGGTGCAAAAAATCCACACACACATTCTCATCACTTTTCGAATATTCCAGGACGAGAAGCTTGCTCTGAGAAAACCTTTATGCTAACTTTTGAAGACAAGTATGAAGTTATGTAATTGCACACCCCAGTAACATTTCAGTATTTATCTGCATAGTGCCTACACGGCAAATCCAGAGGAATGTCTATAAAGTTTTTCAGTCGTGGCTATCAGAGTAACCTGGTTTCATGCTGAATATTACTTCAGCTTCATATTCCTTTGCAAAAGTTATCTGCTGAGAAAATTAATACCATCTCAGTTTTCTTACAAAGCAACTGATCTTGTTTTAAGACAAGAGAGATTAAGATACAATTTAAGTGTACCTGTAGGCAAGTTATGTAACAATTACTTGTTCCCCACTGTCAGGCACTTTATTTCTCTGGACAAATAATTTGCTACATGTCAAACATTTTTACAAACCTGCTCCCAAACGTTACAGTCTAACTGAAGCTCCTGATTAAAGTATCATATCTTCATCTGCCATTTTTAATCCATCTCAAGAAACGTGAGCTCATGGGAATAACTCTTCATGATGGCTGTCACAGGTACACTGCAACTCATCCAAGGACAGTCCCAAACTGAACCTGTACCTGTGAGTGGCTGTACCTACCATGCTCTCATGGCAATATTTTCCAAGTGTGAAAGCTTTAGGATGAATGACACCAAAACCCCTGTGCTTGCTTCACCTTACAAATTCCCAAAGAACTCATTTATTGCTTTTTGTAAACTGAATTGTAAATGCTGATTTTTACTTAGCGACAGATTATTTTTTATGAATATGTACATTATCAGACACAAGTATTTAATAAAGAACAGACTAAAAAATCCTCGCTACCTTTCCAACCTACTGTGCTGATTACTCCCACCAGCAGTTTACCTACCATGGATTGTGGGGCTTTGAGCACTGCAGTTTTTCTGCTGATATTTAGTGCAGCAGCTCAAAAATGCCACATTTGCTTCTATTTTCTTCTACCCTCTCAATAGTTAAATGTTCTCATTTTATGCTGTTTATTTCAAAAATCAAAAATTAACACAAAAAATCAAGCTCTGTGACTCAGTACAGCATAACAGTCCTGGGAACATATTTGAACATCATAAACATGCACCTCTATACAGCACAAAGCTGTTCTCACTGCCTGTCCTTCCCAGCTTCCCTTTTTTCCTTGCTTTCTTTGGGTGATATTACTTGCAGGCTTTAGTTAAAAGCACATGTAAAAAAAAAAAAAGAAAAACTACAGAACATCTAAAAGAATAAAAGAAACAAGATAAATGGTATCCTCTCTCAGAAGAAACCTTAAAGCTGAAAGACAAAGGGTAATCTCGTTACACTAACATATTTCAAGTTCTTCTGTTACAAAAATCAACCCATTTGCACTTTCAGCAATTATCTTGTGGTTCCCTAACAGCATATGTTGCCTTTTAATACACAGAATTTTAAAATACACTAAGATTATACTAATAATTTCATCTTGAGAATTATTTACATAATTTTACATTACAGCACCTAGAGTTTAATAAGTTGAAAAATGCTAAACAAATGCTTCTGAGGTTTACTAAATTTTTATTAAGGTCTAGCTTTCAATTCTCAATTCAAAGTTTCCTTCAGTATGAATTACTCATTTGAACAGCAAAGATGGGTTAACTGTCCATCAGGCAGAGGGTGCTGTTCACCTGCTGACTACTTGGCGCTTCAAGTGCAGTTCCATTCAGGTATCACTACAAACCACTGTCATGTAGTTTCCACTGCCCACTGTCAAATGCTGTTATTGTGACTGCAACAGTTAACCAACTGCTGAAACCTACAGTTTTTCAGTTTGATTTTGCTATTGTTTGTTAATTTTTTTTTGGTTCTGTTTCTTTCAAGCACAGTTAAATCACTGAGGAGAACTATCTGTGGCTAAGAAAAAAAAAAGTAATTGTAGGGGTAATTTATACAACTTAATACCTGACACCAAGAAGTTTTTGCATTTCATAAGTCTGCTTCTTCCTTATCATCAGGCTTCTTATAAACAAAGATAAATCTCTCTTACAGATCTCATCAGATGCAAAAAGAAAAGAACACAATGAATATGTATTTCAAAGGTACACAAGCGACTCACTGATCTAACTGTACTGATGCATTTCAGTTTTGCACTCCATGGTTCACCTTCTCATTCACACCTCTTCATACAAACGTGCTGCTCATATCTGATATGTTACAGTGAAGATATGTGCTTGAAAAATATTCCATTCATGAAAGGTAAATTGAAAAGAAATATTTTTTTATAAATCTTGCTTCTCACATTAAAAAGGGCTTCACAGACCTCACAGTTCGTTGAACCATTTCATGTTTCAGTCCTCCCTAAATCAGCAGTCAAGGCTGACCTGAGATAACAGAGGGTGGTTGCAAGGCACTGCTGCTGCCAGTCTTGAAGGAAGTTATTACAGAGGATGGTCAGTCCTAACTTAGATCAAAGGCTCCAGGGCATTAGAAAAAGAACAACCTTACTTATAACTGTATTTACACATCAGCTCTGTAGCCTCAACCCAGAGCAGCAAGTTTATGAAATTAATTGAGGAGGAGGAGGAAGAACCTTTTAAGATCAGAAGAAAACTTATTTCCTATTAAGCATGCAGATGAAGTACCTTAGTCCATGTTTAAGAGGCATTAACATTTACATGTCAATTATTACCATAATTAGACTTCAAAAGCATTTTCTTTCTTGCAATACAAAGGTAGCACTCCAGTTAAGTATTAAAGAGAGAACATTCACCTGCAGTACATCTCCCTGTAAATCATTACAACTGCACTTAGCGCAAGAAGAATCTACATTTTTCACTCCATATAAGCAGCTCAACATTACTGGAAAGTCAGAGAAGGTTTTACTCACTACCGTGAAAATTTTTCAGAACTCTGCAGGAGAGAGAGTCCTGTTCCTGATTGCACTGTTTGAAGATGCAGGGATTTGGCAGTATGTGAGGAGTAAGCAGACAGCACGTGTACTGCTGGCATTGTTATCCTGGCCACATGGAGTTCAGAAAAGGCTGTATTACTCAAATAACTATTTGTTTTTCCAAGCAGAACTGGGAACGCAACACCAAGCCCATGCTGCTGGTAATACTCAAGGTAATTTATATTTTAGAATTTATATAGACTGTGAGCTACAGTCACAGCAATGAATCCAGTACAGCACATTAAGTCTCCCTAGGACTCTGCTAGGTACACATTCATTACATGCTGTGCTCTACACTAAGTCACACTACAGATGATTAGATAATTGTATAAAACTGGATTTAATTACTAACTCTTCCTATTTCACTATAACTGTTCCTGTGAGACCTCATGCCTAAGTCCTGACTACAGCTCTATTTCTACCCATTCAAATTAAATATTATTGCTGAATGTCATAACTGCAGAAAGGCAAGACATACACTTAAGTGTATAATGTTGGTGAAGCTAATAGAAGAACTTCTGCTTCCTTATTAGAGCTGGAGCTTGAAAGCTGCTGACTTTGTACCTTGGTTTTTTATATTTTGCAGGAAGAGATCTGTCATACCACCCAGGCTGAGATCAAGTCCTAGTTCAGAGTTCAGAATGCTAAAGTTCAACTCATTACTTTCAAAACTGTACTTCTGTTATTTACAAGAAGTTGATAAAAAGTTACAAAATTTTTACTCATTCCTGTTACTACGGAGCTCGTTGTTTACAGTAAAAATTTAACACTTTATGTAATGAAAAGGTATTTCATACAAGTTTTGCCCTAATTGTTTAGTAAATAAAGGTAGTAAAGGTCTAAAGTTTTCCACTCTGCAGCAGGCTAATTTACTTTTACAGTACTATTAATACTGTTTGATTAAAAGACTGGATAATACACAGGGGAGTAGAATAAACATTCAGAAGTCCGCTGATGAGTTTTTGAAGCAGTGAGTCAAAATAGGGTTAGGTCAGGTCAGGAAAATAGAAGTATGCATGACAAAGTTTAAGGAGAAGAGGGATACCTGTTATTACTAAATTCACTGCTACGGTTTACTTTGTGCATTTAAGTTCTTCCAAAAAACTTTATCTGAGCTTTTGAAGGTGAGGTTTTGTTCTACAACCTTTTTGGAAAGTCTGGCTATTATAAACTAGATCAAGATTTTAAATATGATCATCTGCAGGGCCACACACAATTTGGCTATAATGTGGATGCCTTTACACAATGAATTACACACACAACATCTATCAAGTTGCCTAATTGTCCTTGTGTTACAGGGATTAAAAGCTCTAGATAAAAAGTTCCCTGCCATCTCTGTATTAACTGCATGCTTGGGGCTGTTGGGGACACAGTTTATGCAGTCCACCACTCAGACACTGGGTTCCAAGAACACACCTTCCCTCCGACAATACATTATTTTTGTGACAATTGTTTTTCCACCGACAGAACCAGAAACACATAGAAATACACCTCAGTTACCAGGGGATGCAAATGCTCACATTTCTAAAAGGCACAGTCACACCTTTGAATTAGCTTCAAGGTTGATTTGCTTTTTGTTTTGCTATGTTTTGTTTTAGTGTCTTACTTTTAAGGTACAAACTTCTTTTCATTGCATTATCCTATTAGAAAAGCAGTAAATCTATTATTAAAAGAGAACATCATACAAATACTTCCCAATGCTAATCCACATATGCCTCCAAAGACGGTCTCATGGACTGTTCATTATTTTCATGGTAACAAAGGAATTTTTGTAGCTCAAATGTCATACTTCTGCTGAGTCATTTAGCAGTTTACTCCCACTACTTGCTACGGTTTGAGGTAAAATGAAAAAGCTCCTTAAAAGCTTATGACAATTCATAAAATAGGAAGGTTAAATTTGAACACTTCCAGTAGAGATGACCCAGTAGGATTTGCTAAGCTTCTTGTCAAAACACACAGACAGGATGAAAAGAATGAGGAAAACAAAGCCTTAAGAAAAAGTCCTTAGCATTAACTTGCAAAATGCAAGTTTGATCAGTGGGATCAATTTTAATATTTTTTAATTTTTTTGTAACTCCCAGCTTTTTCGGATCTCAGTGAATAAAAGCTGGTCTTCACATCCATTGATACTCTTTTTTAACTTGACATTCCCTCTGAGAAGTAAGGTAACAGTATTTAATGCTGTTTGCAGTCAGTATAGCACTCAGAAAGCAGAAAAAGTACTATCTGAAATGGCAATAAAAAGGCACACTTTCCTGAACGCTGTAATTCAACGTAGAAATCAAATGTCAGTAGCCTAATAAGACCAAAAAAAAAAAGAAAATCATAAGAAAAACATAAGCCCACCTAGGATCACTCTGAAATATACTTTACTGCTTTTCTTCCATTTAAGCAGCTCACCTGGTGCAGTAACCTCTTCAGCTTCAGCAGCTGAGTTTTGACAGCTGTGCAGTCCTGGACCATGTGCCGCAGGGTCATTTCATCCAGCATCACAGTGTTCTCCGGCAAACCCACCAGCTGTCGAGGAGCCTGGTACAGGTTGGGTGCTCCGTAGCTTTCCAAGTGACCAACAGGAGACTCCCGGTAGTTCGATCCCCTGAGAAAGAAATTCAAAACATAAAAACACAGCAGTGCCAAAGCAGAGTTAGGAAGCATTTAGTAAAAAAAGGAAGGCCTTATGTAACATGGGCTATACTTACATACTGTGGCAGAAAATAAATACATCGGAAAATGTCAATGCCATTTCACTTAAATGCAGGGCTTTCGTTTCCACTTGTGGAGACCTCTCGCAGACTAACAACTACAGTACCCTCAAACCAGTTCAGTCATCAAGATTTCTACAAACTGTCATTCAATCCTAGAAGTACTATCAAATTACATTTAATTTACCAACAAATTAAAGAGTGACAAACTGTCCGAACTTAATAATATGCAAGTAGTAAGACACTGGAACATAAAAGGTATTTTTATGAAGCATTTACAGTATCACATCAACACAAGTAACAAGTATTTGGAATAAAGCAATTGTTACAAGCCTCAGTGATGCTCCCACTCAGACACACAACTATTCTGAAAATGTCCTGGTACTCAATATCACTTGAGACCCTTTAATGCCAAAAGGAGTTTCTCATTAGTGTTGTATTGTTTGGGAGAATAAAGACGAGTCCTTTACCTGTTCAAATCATTTTTACCATGGATGTAATGATCAGTATGGCCAAGATGATAGTGATCCTGTGCATTCCATCGCTGTTGTGGTGCTCTTTTCCAGAATCCTTCCTGATGTTGTCTAGCATTTCTGTCTTGCCTATCATAACGGCTCATATTTTCACATTCCTCTACAGAGAGCACAGAGTTAAAAAAATTTATAAAATTTGTTCCCTTGCAAATAAAATATTTACTATGTGCTGGTAACAAATGCAGTGTAAAATCTGGTTTGTTTGTTTGTTTAACTGATCCAAAACTGTGTATTTTAGAAGTGTCAAGCAGACTTATATAATGATGTCACATTTTTACTAACATATAAACTTGCTACAAGAATAAGAGGAACCTGTAGCAAAAGCTACAGAATCCAGCCTTAACAGAATTTCCAGTTCAAGCAGAAAATCATGAGGAGGAGGTAGAGCTATAGGGAAGAAATCAAAAACTGTTTCCTGTCTTTCTTAAGGGCCGTCTCTTCAAGCCTTTAAATAGCTGTAACAAGCCACAAACACAGCAAGACAACACTGTAAAAAGAGAAGAGTACTGCACTCCAAAAGAGACCAGTTTCATTACTTAGAACACAGATACAGCTCAGCCTATTCATCTTGCTTGTTTTTCAGTTTCAGAGACAATCTTTATTTCCCTGGACAACCAGCATGATTTAAAACAAGGAAACCAAATAATCTCTTCAAAACACTAACTTTCACAAAGCAACACAGATTTCACAAACTTCTTAAGGCAACGATTGCTAAATTTGGCAGCAGCCTGCAAACAACTAGACAGAAAGCCAAAACAACGGCTACCGGGCAGTCAGACAGGGCAAAACCAGTCAGGAACTGCTATTTTGCCACCACACTTTCTCCCTCACTTACCCAAGGAGGTTTTCCTCACATTGGCAGTCCTTTGCTAGGAGAAACTCCACACAAGAGAACATTGTTTACTCGGCTGCCTACTCAGACAAGTTGCGCACAAGACGCTCATAAACAGGCCTTCCTTCCTGCTCCGCTCCCAGCCTGCGTGTGGTTGGGAAGGGAGCCCAGCCTTACCCTGTGATTTAACACTGCCGTCCTCGCTCCCTGCATACTTGTTGAGCTAGAACTGTTTCTATAAATAGTGGCCAAGCGGCATCCCAGACTCCAAAGTGAAACTAGGAGAGTTTCTGAGGACCTGGAAAGTCTTAACAGGTGACGTCAGTGAGGTCGCACAGAATTATGGAAAAAGTGTTGGCAAAAGGTGCCCTGTTACACAGCATTATAACAAATACAGCTGCGATTCAGTTTTTATCACACAGCTCAATAACCAAAAAATTACATCAGAAAATAAACTTATTCACCTCAAGTAACAGAAGGTTTATTTTCCTTTAGCATCGTGCTTCTAACAGCTCATAACACACAAAAATTAACAGCAAAATAAGCCCTGACTAAATATATAAGTAAGCTTTAGAAAATTAAATTGAGACACTGAGTAAAGAAAAGTTGTGCTTTTTCAGGTGGTCAGGTTCACATCAGGGAAAACCTGGAGGTGGCTTTCGAATTCTTCTTTTCAGACCCTCTGCTAAAAATACAGTGATTTCAAAAGAAGAAGCAGAGATACCCAGTTTATGCCACATTAGTTTTATAAAGAAACCCAACCTCTAAAAAAAGCCAAAATTAACAGTAATTACCTTTTAATGTGTTTGTGGCAAACATTCACCTTTAAAACACATGCTTTTCTAGGAGTTTTTAAATAATTTGTAATGGAATTACTGATGCAAGTGCAGTGCATGTTTTATAAACAAGGAAACCTATGAGAAATTGATCTACCCTTTAAAATCGTTTCTTAGTTTTTCCCTAAAGAACTAGAATTACTCGTATTGAAAGAATATGCCCTAGGCTGGGATTGTTACACATTCTGGAAAATTAATTATGTAAAGAATAAAAATTTCACACCTGTCAGGGCTGAAAAGTTGCATACTGGCATTGTGGTCAATAATTGCTTTTCACACAAGTCCTTTGGAAGACTCATTCTAAGACTAAGCACTGCATTTCATGTGTGCACACAGTTAAAACATGATGTGCCACCATCGTGGTAGATGGAAAACTCTGTAAATATTCACTGTTATTTTGGTTTCATACCTAATATACATGCAGGACTCTTCACTCAAAGAACTCAGAGGTGCTCTCAAAACGACCCAAATTTGAAAAATCACACCTTAAATCGTAAAGCTTCTGTTACCCTGAATTTGGATACAATATATAGGAGATATTGTCATTTTGTAGAAGAAAACAAAGACTTATCTTAAAGAATGACACTATCACTCACCACAGCTTAAAAAAAAAAAAGGTGTCTCAACATTTTCAAATATATCTGAGGATGAGACTGAAAGACTAACTTCAAACTTTGAAATTGATTCTACTGAAATAATTTTAAGGAAAAAACAGTATGAAACAAGGTTGCACCTTTATTAAAAAGGTACAAATTTCTAACCTTAGAGTTCTTCCAATATGAGTTGTATTTGGGGAAACGGAAGCATCACCCTTCCTGTACTTCAGATAAGAAACAGTTATTACTTGAAAAAAAAAACAACAGAATGTGAAGAGTGCACTGACTTATTAAACCAAGAGTCAGAGCAAAGCAACTCAAAAACCTCTTAAGCCCATGAAGCAGTTTCTCAGAACGATCGCTTGGATGATTTACTAACCTTTGTCACGAGGTGGGTCCTCAGGCAGGTCCACATCAAGCATAAGATCATCATCTTCAAGATCGCATGAATCAAGATTATTCAAGATATCCTGCAGGAAAGAAAAAGTGAGATACAATTGTGCTAGGATATCTCATTTACCCTCCTTTCATAAAAAGATTATTTCAGTGTTTTGTTACACTTGTATTGTACACACGATGTTACCAGCAACCTCCTCTTTCGAGACATCTTACTTGAGAGACCACCTATACAAACAACAATCATCACACCTGCAGTGATATGACACAGTAACAGTTCCAGACAAAACAAAGACAGATTAAAACTTTTTTCTGCCTGATGCCAACGGAATACTCCAGATATTTTTCTATTCATTAATATCCTGCCTTCTCCCCAGTTGGAAGCATTTTAAAACTGAATTACTTTGCTCACTTAGAATTCTAAAACAGCTTTGTGAAAAGATGTTGAATTCCCTTATTTCAGCCCTCATACTGTCGTAACATCACTGAAAGGAAGTGGGGGAGACCTATGTTATCTTGACTTTTTGGGCCAATAAAACTTCAAATACACTATTATCAGCATTAAGCTTTGCTTCCTTTTGTCTTTAACACTGTGGCTCATACAAAGCTGCTCCTGTAAGGACTAACAGTCATGTTGCATGGGTGTACTAACAGCACCAAAAAAAAACCAGCAATAAAGAGTTAATACTAAATGGAACTACACATATTCAGTATAGTCGGTCAGGTATATTAAAAGCAAGGACTGTAGTGTGGCCAAGTCCAGTCCATGTTAAAAAGACAGACTGACCTCTCTTCCTTTAAGAACACCAAGAGGAAAAACTCAAGATCAGGGTTGTAGAACCCCAGCTCATGGCACAGTCAGACACTGCCAGCACCACACTGATGAAAAGCCACAGCCGAAAATAAAGCACAGCACTTGACCAGAGTACCCAGACACTGTTTTACTTCATTATTCAAAGGAAACCAAACTTACTAATACCAATTGATTATAACATGAAGTAGGTCTGAGGAAATTGCTAATGGATATAGACCTCTAACTCTTGATCTCACAAGTAAAGCCATGGCTTTAAGGACCAAGATCAGACTGGGGTACTTTACATCTGCCTTTTTTCTAATAGTAGAAATTAAGATTTTTCTTCAGTTTATCTGCTACCCCTAAAGGTGATTCACGGGACCAATACTGGAAAATTTACCAATTTTTAAGTCAAACAAATGTTTTATAATTACTTATCCAAACATGACCATTAAATACTTAACAGACTATGAGCACGCTACAAAACAATATTCCCTTGGAAAGCTATCCCTTTGCTGGCTATCATTTATTGCTTTGTCACAGATGTAAAGGAAGAACATTAACAGGCATTTGTCTGAACTGTTGTCCCAGCTGTTTTTCAGCAGCCTTCCTACAGCGCTCACAAAGGACTACTGCATTTTATTAGAAATGGTGACAAGAGTTAAGTATATTTTAAGATTTTGGGAGGTTTTGTGACATAGAACATTAAACACTTTGCATTTCTGCAGGGCAAGTAATTTATCAACTTAGGAGGGAGAGCGTGAGATTAAAATAGTTAATATGCACTTCGCAAAATATGAGCAATATAAAGGAAAGATGGAACATCTGAGACAGAACCACCTGTTTTTGTTGTATTTCAAAGTCCTACAGGAGTTGTTTTGTTTACACATAGTATTCTGTGTATCTACTGGAAAAAGAGGAAAACCTACATATCAAGGAATTGTGAATCATAATAAATCCAACTATGGACAAGTTTCACAAAGATACGGAATCCATTTAAAAGAAACACGGATTTAATATTTGAGAGAACAAACTGCCCGTAGGAATTTACTTCCTTTTGTTTCCATTTATTTATGTTTTTCCAGAAACTAACAGGTTTTTAACTAACCCATATTTTTTAAACAATTCTGTGTGTTTGAGAGGCAACTTTGGTTTGTTAGATGATAAATTGTTTCTATGCCATGCTTTGATCTTCAAAATTAGTATGAACAAGCATTATTTTCTTCTACTGCAGGAACCTTAATGAGCATGACAAATTAAGTGGAAACTGTGGCCACAAACAGAGAAAGAAAGCAGAAAACCTTTGCCATCGCATTTAAAAATGCACAATATAAAAACCACAGTTTGTCAGAGCATTAACAAATAAACCTGGATAAGCCACTTGAGTGTCTTTGTATCAGAACTTTGGAACTCAGATGGTGTCAGAGAAGGACAGCACTTGAGATTCCAAGCATACTTTTCTGTCAACAGCACATTTCATTATGCTTCTGTAATTATACATTCCTCACCACACCGAGGAAACTCCGGGAAAGGAAACTCCGTGGTGGAAAACACAACTGCGAATACCAAGTCTTTGTAATCACTGGACAGTGTGTGAAAGCACTTTGAGCATTTCCCAGCGCTGGTGACTTTGGAAACATAATATCCAAGTAGATGTCATCTTCAAATAGCCATAAGATAAAGAGCAGGTTTCATCAGCACATTAATACATAAACCCCCCTCTACTTAGAGACTTCCACTGTTATTCTTTCTACTGCATAAGAAACTGCAGTTAACTACTTGGCACTAGCACAGTTAATAAGATGTGCTTAACAGCAATTAGCATCATCAAGTGATTCTGGGCAACAAGCTCAAACAGGACATAAAATTCTTTAAAAGTGCATCAAGTCCAACCCTACAGACTAATAAATGTTTCAGCAAGATACATAAAAAGAAGAATCCCTTTTTTTTTCTCCTGTAGTGGAGAGGAATGATGCATATTAAAAAGGGTGTGTTTTTCACAAGGCTGATTTAGCATTAGATTTTCAAGATGGTACAACCTAGTCAGAGATTAAGTTTGTGATTCCAAAATCCCAAATCAAACTACAATGCTGTCACCTCATTCACTTGTTCTACCCTTAGGAAATAAGCAGTTAAAGGAAAATAACTAATTGGTTTTGTTACTGATTTACTAACTTAGGTGTTGCTTCTAAAGAGGATGAAAATGTCCCCAGTAGAAGGTAAGCATGAGTAAAAGGAGAGAACAACAGAATAATCTGGCAAGAAACTCGAGAAGTGAAGCATTTGAGAGTAGCACAGAAACCAACAAAGCATCATTTCAGATTCTTGAAGAATGGAAAATGGAAGTAGCTTTTAAAAACAAACCCTAAACAGACCAGGTAGACAAGTCATCTGAAGGGCAGCTAAAGGATAACTGCCAAAGTCAAACACAATTCAAGGCCGACAGAAGAAAACAGGGAGACCTTCAGGGTCTTTTTCAATGCTATTTTCAGCATTGGACAACACCCCCGATAAAGAAAGAAACAGGAATTTAATACCAGTGTTCGAAAAGGCAATGTTAAACAAGAACTGAACAGAACTATTAAGTGAAGGCAGAAAACAGAGACAGAAGATATAAACAGAGGAAAGCACATACTGTACTATAGGGCTGAAGAGAAAAACTCACTGTAAACAAAGTCCTTAAAAAACAGAAAACCACCCGGGGAGACAAAGAATGGAACTCTGCAGGATACCAAAAATGGGATAGGAAGTTAGTTTAAATGCTTTACATTACAAGACACATTAAAGACAGTGAAGCAAAACATCCAAACAAGTATTTTGTAATTTTGTCCATGCTCTGTAACAGACGGTTGCTGTGACAACAAATGTAACATAAAACGTTTTGAATTTTCAGAACAAAGTTCATGTTTAACTGTTAAACATGACGGTTTTAAATAAATATTTACTATTCTTGAAAACATTTTTACAGAGGCATTGTAAGTTCTACCTAGGTTTACTGTAAATATACAGGAATTAATTATTAGCTGAAGTTATTACCCAGTGTATCTTAAGCAGCTATCCTTGCTGCTCTTCTAAGTTTTTTTTTAATTATAAAATCAGATATCACACTGTATAAGAAATCTGAAATTCAAGAGCATGAAAAAGGAAGAGAAAGAAGAAAACCAGAAATATTAGCCATTCTGTTGAGACTTCACTAATTCATAAACAAGAGCTCTTTCAAACACACAGCCCAAGCTCCACCACAAGCAGCATTCCTTGACTGCCATCTAGCCTCCAGTGATGAGCCCACAAGGAAAACTGAAGGGGGCCCAGAACTTTAACCATCTTTCTGCAGAATCCTAGCAAAATTTCAGGATGTTTTCTAAATATTTTTTTTTAAATAGGCAGATGCTTTTAAGCAGAGAATTTCCTGTTCACTACTAAACACGATAATAGAAAGTCATAAGCATTGAGGAGCAGCACAGGCAGAGGAAAAGCAGTCCCTCCTACTCACTGTTTCCAGTCTGTTTGCACAAAAACTAACAACACCAGAAGTTCAGCATTGCCTTTACAGTTTACCTAATCAACAATGGAGTATTTTACACTATAAAGCAGTACATAATTGCTATAGCTACTCTTAACTGGCAGAGCTAATTGTGAATGATCCTCAGTCCCCTGACTTGCACTTGGATCAGAAGAGCAAGATTTGGCTTAGAAGAAAATAGGGAGGCTTCAAATAATTCCCAGCTGGAAAAGGAACAGAACAGGAACTTCAAAATTCAGAGGATTTGGGGCACACACTGCTACAGGACCTCAGTTAAGTTTCCCTGTGCAGTAAAGCTTTAATTCTACCCTTGAGAGACTTCCGGACTAACCTGAATAGGACGAGTTACACAGCATTAATGTGTTCTATTCTTACACAGTCAGCTGAATATACATTATTTCTATTTAAAACCAAAACAATCCTCAAATACCTCCCGACTGTCTTTAAGCGATTCTATTTTGACCCATCTTTGAATGCACTGTTAACAACACAGGAACCATCCTGCTGTAAAAGTGTATTCCCACCACACTTTACCCTGATACATTTCAACAGCGTGAGCCAAGGGCACAAAAAGACCAAAACGCTCTTTACTCAGATCTACACCACACGTGGGAAAGCGTTGCTTTGCTGACTTTCCAGTCCCAAGGAGGATGACAATTAGAAACCCCGTGTTTAGAACTGCGGGGGGGGGGGTACTCAGACTGAAACTGGGTGTGCACACTTCACTAAGAGGGACCAAAGCTGTGTGCAGTGCAAAA